CGCATTTTTTGAGTTTAGATTCTCAGGTGTTGATTGGATTTGGATAGATTGACTTTTTATCATTAGGGATAATGGCGCCGTTAATAAAATATGTACATCAAATCAAAATTAAATCAAAGTAATTTATCGAAAGATGGAGGAAGTAAAATGTAAATACAAAAGATTCAACATCATCCTCTCTTTTTTATTGAAATAAATTACATGAGGGGTGAAATTAATTTGGTTTCATGATTGTCAATTCTTTTTCATTATATTAATAATTAAAACAACAGTTTTAAAGTTTTTATTTTGCCTTGGTTGTAATACTAATTTCATTTTTAAATAGTTTTTTATATAACTCAGTGCTTGCATTATTCAAATTAGACAAAACATAAAGAAATGTTCAAAATTACTCAACAATATTAGATTCCAAAATTTTCGATTGATACTAATAATTTTAGTAAATTATTAATTACAACATAACAAAGGCGTTTTGATAATAGTAAGAGGAATCATCTAACTTATCTATTAAAAACAAATGAGCCTTTATTGTGATATTAGATTAAAAGTATTGCTTATTGTATGTTTTGTAAGATCTAAAGACTCTTGTTATGTGTGGATTTACATTCAAATACTAGGATTTCTCTTAGTATATTAACATAAGAAGAAATTAAAAAAAAATTATAAAATAAATATAAAAATATTTAAAATAGAATATCTAACAAATCGATATCCCTAATTTTAATAACTAAAAACTCATTTAATTAATACAATAAGAATATACATAACATTTGTTATTTTTTAACGAAAATAGATGCTATTTATAAATGCAACTTTGATAAGATGAAAAATATAGTTTTCCCTTGAATATAAAATTATCATTTGTTAAATTATTGAAAGAAAAATATCATCAGAGTTGCTTTTGAACGTAATTAGTAAAAATATCATAGCATTTTTAGATTCAAGGAAATATTAAGAAGAAATAAAAGTAACTTACTTAATTAAAAAAAAGATTGTGATCTATGTAAATTATGGAAATAAAATGTTGTAAAATATTTTTATATATAAATTTAATATTAAATATTATAAACATGTTGAATAGAAATTTAAATAGTTATGTTATAGTCCCATTTAACCGAATAAATACTATTAAAGATGATTTCGAATAAATTCAATTCAATTTTTGAGCGTTAAATTTTCCTGTAAAATGGCACTTATCTTTTCTTTAGTGATTACACTTATATGCCTTTTAAATTATATTATTAATTTAAATAAATCGATATGCATCCTTCGATTGGTATAAATATGAATTTTAGAATTGTTGCATAACTTATGATTTCAATAATCATGTATATAGTTTAGGGTTGTCCATTTACAGATTACGAATAAAGTTTGCTAAGTCCTAAACATCAAATTGAAATCGGGACTGTTGAATTTTTAGGTTCATCCTAATCGTTTGCTTTTTGGAGTTTTTGTATTCCATCTTGGGAAGTGGATGGATATCCAAGCGTTGAGGATGTTCTGTTTTAAGATAATAGATATTAACAACTTTTGTTTTTGATGAGATCAGACGCTGTCGACTCATCTTTGATAATGTTTATGTATGTTGATTTTATTGTTGGAGAGAATTAAAATTAAGTTGTTCATAGTCTTCATATAAATAATGAAGACTCAGAGAATATTTATGAATACAGGTTTGATGCTAAAAGTTATGAAGGAACATGGATCTTAAGCATGATTACGATTTAATACCAAAACATATTATTCTAAACTTCAGTATCGACTGATTATAATGACATACAAGTTGAAATACCTTAATACAATAAAGTTCTTTTCATAATTGGAGGTACTGGAATTGTAAATTAATTATATTTGAATTTAGGTGCGCCAATAATATTAACTAGGTATATTCAGAGGGAGATTATCAACATTAATAACATACAATGATTAATCTATTTTAGATTTTGATTGGGTTAAGGCGAACTGTTTAATTCCACAAATCATAAATGGAGGATAAACTATATATTTGATAGAAGACGTTCTACTTTTCGAAGAAAATACGTAAATCATAAGGTAGATAGATTAGGTAGGCAAGAGTTTTCAATTTTATGGTTGGGTTAAATATGATTTTTCATAGGCAAGTTTTACAACAACATATTTATTACTTCGACTTACAATATTCAAGAATTATGGGGATGAATTAAGATTAGGAGATGAACTGGCTAAGATCACTGTTGATTTAGACCTTTCACAACCTCAGAAATGTGGCTATGATGTAATATCACATATGTATTCTACCCCAATGTTCGGGTCTATAAATTAAAAATTTTAGGAAAAACTTACATTTAGAGATGATGAATCATTCTATTATCAATAACTATAATAATGGCATATGGTATCATTTCTTTACTAATAACGTAATGGACCTACAGTGTCTTTTAATTTTGTATCTTCCAATCTTATAATCGAAGAGAAGTTTCCTGATTAAAATGCATAAGGATTGTTTATAAACACTAAATATTATGCAATTATTGGTAGTGATCGTACGATATTATCAAAACTTAGAGGTCAATTGGCAAATGTAAGATTTGAGTATAATTTTGAAATCAATACAGAATTGAACACTGGTATTTCTATGATTTAATATTAAGTAGGTTGTCATTACACATGCAATAAATGTGATGGTCCACTATCAACAAATTGCTTATAATGTTATGGTCTGCAAAATAGAATATACTCAGCAGACTTAAAAACTTGCTAATGTTAATTAGGGTATATTGAACAACTAGGTGAATGTAAATCCTACTCTGAGATTTTCCCTTTGATATTTTTCTTAGATCTTCCAATTTTTGAGAGCGGCTTTAATTGTGGTGTTGGATATTTCTACTTATCAACAATCTAATAGTGTATTAAGTGGTATTTACTTTCACTATATAAATAGTCCTCAAGAGAACTAAGTGGGTATACTTTGCGCTGATTGCCTTATTAATCCAAGTACCTGGCATTATAAACCTGTTTGTAAAATGGATTTCGTAGTTGACAATGATTCTGGGAAAACAGGTTATAGATTAGTATAGAGGAATTCTTTAAATTATGATGTCTATTTAATTGATGATATTTCTAATTTAGTACTGATTGAGGGAGCCAAAGATTATTGTAACACTTAAAATGATTTTCCTAATTGTTTTAAAATTGAAAAGGAAACCCATTTATTTTAAAGTTTTTATATCATGTGTAAGGAAGACCATTATTTTTAAAATAACAAGTGTTTGAAATCGATATCAAATTGTATTAAATCTAATTATGAATCATCTGATTGCTTATAATGCGCTGTCGGATATTATTTATCTGAAAATACTTGTATAGTATGTGCTAATTTTTGCATTAGATGTCAGATAAAAAATGGAATTTATTAATGCCTCTAATGTCCAGATGGATATGAGGTCTAGGAAGGAGATTGTGTAAAATGTGGCAAGAATTGTTAGATTTGCAAATTTTAACAAATAAAGGATTCCAATTACCAGATTTTGAGATGTTTGAAATGTGTACATGATTAAAAATATTATATTTCTTTGGATGGGGAAAATTGCTTTGAAAATTCAATAAAAAATTGTCTCTATGCTTTTGAAGTGTCAAAATATGACTATAAAATTAATTCCTTAGATTATGAATTAAACTTAGAGCCTATTGCCAAGGACATTGTATGTGGACAATGCCAATCAAATTTAACTTATAATTAAGATATTAATGAATGTGTGCCACAACAATCTACTGAATGTTTCTATAGTTATGTATCAATGATTTCTTTAAGTTAAGAAGTTTGTTTATTTGGACCGAAAGTAACTTCATATAGAGAACCGATGTCTTATCTTACTGAAAGTCCTTGTTTGAACTATAATTGTCACATTTGCCTAATTAGCTAAATTTTCATTAAAGTTTCATATATATGTCTTGAATGCAATAATGGATATTACGCAGAAAAATTGACTGGGTTTTGTCTACCTTGCCCTTAAGAACTGAAATGTCAGATTTGTTATTAATAAAACAAAATAACTAAGGATAATTGGAAGAATCAGATTCGAGCTTATTATAGATTAATCATAGATGATGATTTGCAATAACATTCTTTTATTGATCATGGACTTAGTTAAAATGCTGACGACTATGAGGTTGTATGTTAATTTTGTCTTTAAGGATACGAAATATTTAATGGCAAATGTATAGAAGTCTGTCCTAATTCTTGTCTTTAATGCAAAATTATCAATAATCAGAATATTTGTGTTCAATGCCCATAAATTCGAGGCAAAAGAAGCTTAAGTTTATACAATAATTAATGTATTTAATGTCCTGGACATTGTGTGTTTTGTAGGGAAAGAGACTAAGATGAAATAAAATTAATTAATCCAGTCTTTGATAATTTAGAATTTCATTACTATTCTAATCAGTGTTTATAAAATTAAAAAGCATATTATGATACAGATTTAAAAATGTACGTGGATTGTGATTTGGGTCCGTGTATGAAAGAAATGTAGATAAATTTGTTTTTGCATTGTTCACAAGAATAATATTATTAATAGTTACAATCTTTATGGAGAGAGGAAGATGTGAAAACTTTTAAATAATCCAATATATTAATAGATGATTTATTTTCCACTTCCAGTTTTTAACAAGTAAGTTTTTGTTCAATTTTTAGTTTGAATAACGAGAATTTTATCAGATGGCCAATGAGTAGGCAATCAAATCAATTCTAATCAGAATTTTTAGTTTTGAACCACAAACATGTGTTATCAAAAATAATAAAAGTATTAAACAATAATTCAGTTAAAATATTTTTTCTGCCATGTATTTGATATTCTATAATTTAGAAATGTTAAACTGGAACTTTATGGATATGGAAATACAATTTTTTAATATGATAAAATTATATCAATTGTGAACTTCAAAAAGGTTTATATTCAAGGGATAATTTTAGAACCATTACCAGTTCATAATCTTAAGCAGTTATTTTTTAATAGTGTCTTTGAATAAACAATTCAACTAACGGATATCACATATAAAAGTAATCTTATTTAGGATAAATCTTAAATTTTAATATGGAATTCTACATTTGTTATCATTGATAAATTTAGTACTTAAGATCTTAACTTAACCGATATCTTGGCATTTATTTTGGTGGAAGAAGTAGAGAAAGCTTAAACTATTCATATTATAAACTTTAATATGATAAATTGCGAATTCTAAACAGTAAATTTGTTTAAATGTAATACCAAATCAAGTGATTCTACTTATTTCCTATTATCAAATTTTACTTCAATCTCATTTCAGTAATCTCAACTGCTAAACTCATCTTCAGGATTCCTTCTAATTTAAGAAATTATCATCAAAGAGAGTTTGATAACTAATATAGAGAATTTAATGGGAGGAAACGAATTATTTACAATCTAAATCTATTCATTTAAAATGTATAAAAATACCTAAGTTAATTCTACGATATTTGGCGTGAAAACAACCTTTTCCATTAATTCCTTTAAATTTATTGAAAATACAATTCTGAATGCTTCTTCAGCCTTTAATAATTCTGATGCTTAAGCAAGAAATTTATATTTTATAGAACTTGAATTCTCATTAAATATCTTGCGGTCCCCCA